AAGGGAAGGAAAGGGAAGGGAAGGGAAGGGAAGGGAAGGGAAGGGAAGGGAAGGGAAGAGAAGGGAAGGGAAGGGAAGGGAAGGGAGGGGGCTCAGGTTTAAATTCACTAAAATAAAAAGCAAATGCAGATTATCGATCTGTCTCCTGCACCATATGTGCATCTTGTCTTTACAGGGATGACCTGCACTGTAGTTCCACTCTGTCTTGCTTGCATTTCACAAGATCACTATTTCAGTTGTACAGTTTTACAGTTTTACATCAATGTCCAGCAGACCATTCCAACAAAAAAAAAAAAACCTAGGAAGACGAAGTTTCTTTCACATTGAGCATTTTGGTTGATGCCTTTGTATCTCTCTTCATGTTTCCTTTACCTTCATCAAAGATTTGGTGGGCTTCAATCCGTTCCCACTGAAATCAATAGTTTTGCCATTGACCTCCAGGGATTAGAAGATTTTATATGGCTCATTTCTTTTAATGTTCAATTATTTCACTTATTCAAATTATAAGCTAGATGTTTCTGGCAATCACTCAGGTGACCACACTGTAAGCATATGCAAAGTGTCCAACATGTGTATTTAAGGAGCTTCAAAAGAAAATGATTGTTCTAATTTTCTTAGGCAAAAATCAAAGCACAAGTATAATGACCATACATATAGTATGCTAATGGTTTCCATGTTAACTTTTCCCAATGGAAACTTCAGTATTATATACTAATACCAAATATCTGATATATATCGGTAATTATAAATGATGAAGATCATTCTACTACTTTGCTATTTCTATTTGAAAGTTAAGGAAATATGAAATGATGGCTATTGAGCACTAAATAATTAAAAAAAAAAAGGATTTTTTTCAAATGGTCACTGAAACCTGCATATCTTAGGAAATCAAGAAGAGGATTTTCAGTATTGCTAAGTGCTGACTTAATTCGTTCTATTAACCATCAAGAAGAAGAAAGCTATAATGATACAGTTGTGGAAATACCACTCTAAACTTAAAATATTAATTGGTTTTAAATAATAGACAATTTAATGCAAGCATGAAAAATATACAAGTTGAAGTCTTCCAAGAGCTTTGTAAGTTGACTAGCTGTCTATGCTTTAAACAGAAGGTGCCCTGCTGGAGAACGTGATAAAATAAAGCCATTTGTGAAGCCGATGAGTCTTTTGAGTTCTCTGTCTCACTTGGCTGAACTTTCAAATAACGGTCAGAGACCTTTCCCTAACAGGAGAGAGTACTCAGGGGAGTAACATTTGGAATAAGTCAAGGAAAGGACTTCCTAAACTTCCCTGTGATTATTTGAGTCAGGATAACTGTACCTTATTCAAGACAAAGCTCTCCCTGAAACTTTTCCCACATTCAGACTATAAGAGCAGTTCTTGGTCTGCCAGACAAATGGGAAGACAACTGTGCTCTAGGGTTCACACAGTTGCAAAAATGCTGAAGGAAACCCTTCCGTGAGCAATTCTTGTAAACTATTTGTCCTTCTAGCATTGTTAACCATGTGCAAGGACTCAGTTATAGGAGGTTTCTGTTAAGTCATTCTTTTTCAACATTTGTCATAGCAAAATGCTCTAAGTAGTACCACCACTTTTACTGAAATGATATTCACAGTTTGAAGGGAATCATGAAAATAACTCATCTGATAGTGGTTAGTACATGGACATTTTCTCTAACTATGAGAGCAAGGAGATATTCTTCAAAAGCAGCTGATAGAGCTAGCCAAAAATTGCAGAGAGCTTTCTGTGGAAAGACTTGACAAAAATTTGTCCTCCTCCCCTCCTCCTTTTTGGACTTTTAGTCTTTCAGATAAAAGATTTCTATGACAAAACCACTGATGCAGAGGAGGGCAAGGGGGAGCCTGGCAGACGAATTGCCACCTGAGTTTTTCCTTAGCTCAAACAAGTTTTCTTTTACCAACAGAGGATAAAGGACTTGTACAGGCTTGTTGTAACTACATGAAACTCCTAAGAATATTAAAGTGTAGGACTTTCCCCAAGGGTGAATTTGTTGAATTGCAGCCTAGACATCCAAGAGAAGCGGTGGAAGCCGCACCACTTGAGAAGCTAGTACAAAGAGCCATCCTGTGCTGGTAAAAGAAATGGATAAGGTGACCTAGTAGCTCGTTCCAGTATCTTATTTCTAAGTTTCTGTGACTCCTTATATCCTGTAGGACAAATGAAATGCTGGGAACGCTGTGCCAAGACAAAAAGGGCAGGGGGTCCTGCTGTACTTAGCCATGTTAAACAGTATTTATTCCATACTTAGGAGGGGAAAGCTACCCTCTGAGTAACAAAAGCATAGCTTGGTCCAAAATGGGATCAAATTAAGCCTTGCATTAATGAATTGCAGGAGATTGTAAGCCACATAAGCTAATAAATGAAAAATGCCTGAGAGCTGAATATTGTTTTGGAAAACAGTGAATAATCAAGGAGAACAATTCAGCAGTTGGTACATGAACTCCCTACATTTCAGGAAAGAGTCTACAGACTGTGGCTGTAAAATGTTAGACATTAAAAAAAAGATTTTCCCTGAGCAATTCATACAGCATAATTGTTAACAGTTGCAAAGAAAAATAAAACAGTCAAGCAATGAGACTGAGAACAAACTAAACTTCCACAACACAACCTTACTTTTCAAAATAATCAGGTTTTAGATGTTCTTGGGATTTTCATTTAGATATTTCATTAGCTGCTGCTGTAATAATTAACTGTTGTCTCATTGCTAGCCGGACAGAAATATTTTATGGAAAAGCTGTCTTATAGCACTCCACTTTACACACTTACTTTCCAACCTGTCATTTACAGTGCTGAGACTGGAAAAGAGGTCGGTAAAACTGGGCTTGACTATTACTCTATACAGTGCTGATGTGGATTGTTTCTTTTTCTTGGCACCCAGAAACACAGGATTCCTGTTGCTATGGCTCTGTCATGTGCTCCCCAACCACCTTCTCTCAATAAACCTTTACATCCTTACTCCAGTGCGCACCTGACTCTGCGAATAAGGGCCACCACATCCCACCACTACCCTTCCAAACTTGTATACTTTTCCTACAAGCTAATGCTAGCTTTAGCTTCCTTGCTTAGATCTTTTATGTACCAGTCTACAAACTGATCTGGCCAGGGATTTTGCCCTCTTCTGTCTAACTCCAGATGTTTCTAAGGCATCACTGTACACATAAAAATGGGAATCTGTGATATACATCGGTACAGAGAGTACCTGAGGACCTCTCTGACTGGTACTAGTCTAAAGTAAGTTGCATTATATTGCCTGGAAAAGGTGCTAATTCCTCCGAGAGAGCTGCATGACACCAACATAATTGCCTCTTCCATTAGCTATATTTTATTTTTCTGCCATTTAATAAAATATATTTTATTTATTTGCTGCCAAACCAGCCTGGTAAGGGAAAAAAGGGGCCAGCGCTTTCAGCACTGTAAATGGTAGGTTGGAAAGTGAGGATGTTTAACAAACAGCTTTCCCATACAATCTCCTAGTATGTTCAGCTTATGCATATATTTACTTTAGAGTGTGCCGCATGTGTGTTAAGTTCATGAACACCAGGATGCGTCCTGGTAGGGATGGAGAGGATAACAAAGCGGTAGCAGAGACGGGTGACGGCACGGACGTCCCGCGCGCGGTACCCTCCTGCGTGTCGGTACTTACACTTCAGCCAGCGGGCTCCGGCGTGCGTGTCCTTGTCCCGGATCAGCCTCCTCTGCGTGCAGCTCCTGCAGAGGTACCACAGCATCCACAGCAGCTGGATGAGCATCAGTGTGATGAGGTAGGAAAGCAGGTGGCTCTTGCTGATGCCCACGGCATGCACAGCCCAGGCGAAGGTGAGCAGCAGCCCGGCCAGGAAGAGGTTGATGCCGTACTGGCTGCTGAGGATCTCGGCGTTTTTCTGCGGGTAGCTGCCGCCCACGGAGGGGGAACCGGCGGCTTTCTCCATCTCCCACGCCGCCGGCCAGGTGCTGCACGCCCGCGGCCCCGCTTTCCCCGG